TCAAGAGTCTGCGGAACCAGAGCTTCTCTCGACTGACGCAGAAGAGGAATTTCTTCTCACGCCAGTAGAGGAAAAGGCGGCGCCTCCGATGGAGACGGATAATCAGGATCCTTTTTTACCTATTATCCAACAAACTGAGGAGGACCTGAAAAAGTTGGACATCAGGGGAAAAAAACAATATTTCTCTGGTGCATTCAAGCGGCGTATCGCGGCTTGTATCAGGGATGGCATGTCCCCAGAGGAAGCTCGCAGATATGAGAAGGAAAGGCTAAAAAAGCTGAGGGCCTGCGGATCGGCTGTTGTGGCCGACCATCCCCAGAAGAGGGAAAGGTCAAAAAGCAACACCCCTGATGCAGGGCCCTCAAAAAAGAAGTCGATGAAGGGCAATATTGAGGGAAAGATCCCTGGGAACATTCCTCAACAAAACCCGAAAATGACTTCTTATCGGGATGCAGTAACACAGGTCAAGGTGGCCATCACTCATAAACCGCATCCAGAGGAAAGGCTGTCCGAAGTCCAGATGAGGAAAATCAAAGTAGCCATCATGGATTAAATGGATAAAGCTGTGGATTTTCATCCACAATTCACTGCAGCGTTGCAAAGGGATGGATATCCGTAACATGCAATAATCAAAACATCAGGGAGTGGATAAGATGAGATGATCATAAAGCTTTGGGACGGTTGCAACGTCGTGGTACTGGATGGCGACGACATGTCCAAACAGCATGTCTGCGTCACCTACGTGCCAAAGGACGAGACAACCGTCAGTCTCTCCAGGGACAAATTTCTAAGTAGGATAGAGAAGCAAAATCGCAGCCTCAAGATGAGTTCCTGGAGGATGCTGAGGAGGTAATACCGAATCAGTACCAATGGGCTTGGAAAGCCCGGTACTGATTCGGTATTTGCTGTTGGAGGGGCTAGTGTGGAACCTAGGACGGCAAAAGGGACTGCGGCAGGGGGCAGGCCTAGGGCTTGCATTTTGTTTAGTAAAAGGCTAACGTATTTTCCCATTCCAGATTACTGTTTTAAGGATCAGGTACCTGCGTTGGTGAGGGTAAAGTCTTCGGGGGTTGGACAGAGTTTATTGTGTGCTCATCCTACCTCCCGGGTGAAAGATCTGGTGGACTTTTGTGGAAGGAGGAACTTCCAAGTAATAATAGGAAGTGATGCTACTGCCCACCACACCGTCATTCATATATATATAAAAACACCAGGGATTTGAATTTATATATCACAATAAATTAATGGTTATGAATGAGAGCAATAAGCCGACATTCATAAATGCAATTAGGGGACATCACCCTTTGCACTGAGTTTATCGGCAGCAGGGTTAGTGGATGGCATGTCTCAAATGAGACATCCATGTCCGATCATAGGCAGATTAGGTTTGATATCATGGTCTCCGGGGGCCTGGCAGAAGAAATGTATCGGGTACTCCAATTCACCGATTGGAGTCAATTCGAAACACTCCTCATGAATGGGACTGGATGGGATGGAAAGCTATTCAATAAGACCAAAGCGTCCGGTTCATGGAAAGAGTATAAAAACTCACTCACGAAATACAATAAAGAAATTTGGAAAGCGAAGAGAATTTCGTGGAGGGCGTTCTGCAAGGGCATTGATGAACTCTCCAGCAGTGCGCGTCTTCACAGGATGCTTTCCAAAAAGTATGCTAGCGGGTTGAGCCTAATGGAACGGCCTGATGGCTCCATGGCTGAGAACGGAAAACAGACGTTAGAGCTAATGGCCTCAACACACTTTCCTGACTCGAAGATTCTTCGGAATCACTCGAATGCGTTCATTGAACCAAGGGCATCCTGGCCCGGGAGGGATGGCTGGCAACGATCCCGTTTGGTCTTCACGATGCGCAGAATTAGATGGGCTGTTTTCTCTGATAGGAGTTTCCAATATATCGCCAGAGCACTGTTGGAAATTTTTCGTGCCAGCTATGCGTGGGGTTACATCCCTCAGGCATGGAGGGTGGCTAAGTGACGTATATTACAAAGGCAGGTAAGCGACCAAGCAACCACCCAAGGTCTTTCCGTCCAATCAGCCTTACTTCTTTTCTATTGAAAGCAATGGAAAAAGTGATTGATAGATTTGTACGGGACGATGCACTGGGAAGCAATCTCTTGCATGAATCTCAGTACGCCTATCAGTCGGGAAGGTCTACTGTACTCGCTTTGCAGAGTCTGGTGGAGGTCCTTGAAAACTCACTGGAAGTGGCAGTTGGTTGCTTCCTTGATATAGAGGGAGCTTTTGACAACACCCCATATCATGTCATCTGTGAGTTGTTGCACAAACGAAGGATTGATGCGACGACTAGCAGATGGGTTAATCGAATGCCACAGGATAGGATTATTAAGTCCACCATAGCTGACGATATACTCTTCATATCCGCTGCAAAAGGGTGTCCGCGGGGCGGCGTTCTTTCGCCCCTTCTGTGGTTCATTGTAGTGGATGATCTAACCGCTGCTCTCAGGGGCTCCGGGGCACGTGTCTGGGGATACGCCGACGATGTGGCCTTCGTCGTACGGGGAAAATTTGAGAGCACTATTTCTGATCTTCTACAGCAAAATTTACGTGTTGTGGAGAGGTAGTGCAAAGTCGTTGGTTTAATATAAATTCAAGCAAGAGCACTTTGGTCGCCTTCACCAGACGCAGAAGCGGGGATAGATTAACGAGCCAAATTCTGTTTGGTGAACGTATTATTTACTCTAGGGAGGTGAAGTATCTGGGGGTAACCCTGGATGATCATCTCTTAAGGAATACCCATATAGACAGAGTTATCGGGAGGGCTACGACGGCCTTATGGACGTATAGGAGCTTCATCTGGGGGACCTGGGGAATCAGTTCCAGGATAGCACTGTGGTTATATACGGCCCCTGCTAGGCCCATCATCACCTACGCGTCGATTCTATGGTGCCGTAAAGCTCAGCAGGCGGGTGTGCGGGCCAAGCTGGAAAAGGGAGTGACCGGGGCAATGCGGACGAATCTCACCGCTGCATTGGAGGTGATGATCGGGTTGCCGCCACTGCACCTCCATATATTGAAGGAAGCTCGGCTAGTGACTTACGGACTTCTCTCTGGCGAGGACAGGGAAGGGCTAAAGTTGGCCCACAGGACCCACAGAGACTTCATTGACAGCGATCCGATTCTAAGAATAGCCATGTCGGATGCCTGTCTGCCGCGGTACAACTTCTACCACAAGTACAGGGTTCTGTTTCCCGATCGATGGACGTGGGATCGGGGTGGCCCGGTACTTGTGTCGGGTTCGAGCGTGAGGTATGAGAAAGGGTCCAAAACGGAGTCGGGTGTGGGTTCGGATATATACGGTGTCCGCCCGGACACGCGTGTATATGCAACCCTTGACCCGTATTGCACGGTGTTCCAGGCCGAAATACATGCAATAGAGATCTGTCTGAGAATCAATTTAGAAAGGGGGTATAGAAACCGCACCACCTGTGTTCTCGGACAGCAGGGCTGGCGCTTCGTTCAACTCAGGTTACATCCAAGCTGGTCTGTGACTGCCTTGCTGCACTTATGGAATTGGCATCGGAGAACAGAGTCACGCTCATTTGGGTGCCGGGCCATAGTGGCCATGCGTGCAACGAAATTGCCGATGGGCTGACGCGGAGGGGATCTGAAGCTGACTTTGTGCAGCCTCTGCCTTTCTGCGGTCTGCCTTCTTCCGGCGTGGGAGTCAGGCTTGTCTGCCTGCTCGCGGCGGAATGCGGAGGTCACTGGCGGGACACGAAAGGGTGCCGTCAAGCGAAGGTGTTTCTTTCGGCGTACTCCAGCGGATTCACCGCAGAGTTGCTGGGGATGAGCAAGAGCCGGGTTCGCACTATTGCGAATTTCTTCATGGGGCACTGCCCAGTGAAGTACCACCTGCATTGGCTCGAGAAGTCGGGCTCCCCCCTGAGCAGATTTTGTGGGGGTGGCGATGAGACCGCTGTGCACATTCTCTGCGACCGTCTAACACTGGCTGTTCGGCGCCGCAATTGTCTTGGACATGGGTCCCTAAGTGTTCGGGAACTGTTGTCCAACTCCCTTAGGGATATCTCCACCTTGTGGTTGGGACGGCGATATTATAGGCGAGAGCGGGGGGAGGTTACAATAAGTCAGGAATGGCTGCGGTGGCTTAGGGGGTTAAACCTGCACCACTCGGTTCCCTTAAAATCTACAAGGAGCAAAAAAAAAATTAAATATTATGAGAACTAATCTATGACTTTTTTACAAAAGGTCAAATATAAAATTGGCTTCTCTTAAGGAGCCAGTGGCTGATGCAGCTAGCCCGTAAAAGTTAACCAAATCGTCGAACTAACAAACAAAATTCAGAAAATAATTTGAAAATTTTTCGGATTGAAAATGTTTCCGACAAAATTAATATATCGGATCGACATCTTGTTAAAAGCCGTTTCTAGGGATTGCTCAAAAATTCAGAAACTACATCTCTTGCTTAAAATATAGCACACAAAATTTAGGATGAAACCAGTACTTCCATATGGTAAATGCATTCCGTTCGATTAAGAATATAAAAACTAATCATATTTAATAGTTTTCCTAAAAGAAGAAAGCAAATAATTATTAAACAGTAATGAACTTATAAAATAAAATTTATATTGTCATTATTATACAATAACTCTCAAATATATTATACATATAATGATACATACACAAAGTTATATATGTGAATATCATTCAATGTCAATAAAAACTTAATAAATTTGTGGTTATTTTATCTGTCAAACTAAATTCGTTTTTTAGTAACGGTAATGAACAAAAAACAAGAATACACAATATTGTTAATAAAAATGTCAAAATATTTTCTTTTGAATTTATCATTGTTAGTAAAGTGATTAATAATGAGAATCGGATCAAATAAGTAAACACAATCAAAAATGTAAGTAAATCGTTACGAAGGAGCAACAAAAAAAACAATAACAGAATAATAGAATCTCTCTCACTCTCCAACAACATGTCAAAAATAAACTTACGTCTTTTCATTTTCACTGTGTTTTTGTAGTGCTTTCTCTTTCTTTTCTTTAAGTGTTGTTGACACTTGATCAAATACATTTTTAATTTTATCCATTTTTTTTCTTTTTTATTGTTTATTCTCTATATTTATGTACGTGTGTATTTTTACCATTGTGGTGAATAAAAAAAAAAGTAGTAAAAAAAAGGGAAGAAATAAAAAAAAAACAAAATAAAAAATTAAATTAAAATTAAATTAAAATTAAATAAAAAAAAATAAATTCTTAAAAACTAAAATGAAAAACTTTAAAAAAAAAATCAAAAAAATTTATGAGGGAAAAATAATAAAATTTTTTAAATTTTAAAATTAAATGAAATTTTTTGCACAAATAATAAAAAAAAATTTATAAAAAATTGTAAAAATATTTAAAAATGGTTGCTAAAATTGTGACTGACAGTTAGATTTGACAAGAATTCAATTTACGTGTTTATTCAATTCAATTAACCTAAGAGTAAGAATATCGTTCGGTACCATTTTGACTTTACCGAATCTGTAAAACTGTATCTGGAATAATTTGAAATCAGTTAACCGGCCAGATGTTGAAAGTATTCCAATAGCTTTAAATAATATTTCAATTTACGTTGTCAATTTTAATGTTAGATTTCGTTCTCTTGATTTTTTTGTAGTTTCGTTTTTTAGGATTAATTATGGGAAATATGAGCACGTCAGTAGAATGTTCGTAACCCGTCAGTAGAATATGTGCAACAAGTTCAAGAGCACATCAATTTTATTTGATGCTAATTTAATTAATAACTACACGTACATATTGTAATTTTAAATAATTGTATACTTTTCTATTCGATTTAATGGTGTTTTTTGTTTAAAATAAGATGAAATTTGTAAATTGATTTAATAAATTGTAATATACTTGAGCTAAGCATATAAAATAAAATTTCGAACTAATTACATGGAATCGAAAGATTTGAAGAATGTAAACTCCGCTCCGCTAAGCTAACGCTGACGATTTAGTAAACTAGAAACTTTCCCAATGCGAATTCTTCGGTTATATAAAGCCAATTTTTCCTTTAAAGAACTGCAAGGATGATATCTCTCTATAATAAATATCAAAAGTATACAATTTTAAATTACAATAATTCTCTAGCAATACCAAATTCCTAAAAGAAATCAACTTCTTTTATAATGTAAAACAAAAATCCCATTAAATAAATTATACTTGTATATATATATTAAGGTATTATGTAATAAGTAGAAAAAAACAAATTTACAAAATCCAAGGATAATCCAGTATTTAACTTTTTAATTATTGATTTTTAGTTGCCCTTTAAATAATCGAGCGATCCAATTTCGTTTACTTTCATTCAAATTTACACAGCAAAGCACATGTAATGATATAACTTCATCTATAAATACACATACAACTGTGAGTGAGAATACCATAGTCCATAGATACTATATAAAATTAATTGGCATTTTGGTGTTGAAAATAACTTATTGTTCAAATCATTTTGTCATCAGTTTAGGTTACGTAAATACAATGCGAGTTTATTGTATGTGTGTTTAAGTTTTTATGTGTTACTCTGCTGTGCTATGTGTATAATGTATATTGCATTTAACTTAAAAGCAATTAAGAGATCAAATTAAAATGTAATGACCATTAATGATAGCTTTAATTTCATTAATGATAATTACAATTACAGTAAATTTAAATAGGGTAAATTTAATGATAAGGGTTTATAAGTAACACATTTCCTTTTAAAATCTATAATTAATTTGGAAAAATGAACGAAAATTTTCATTTAATAAAGATTGATTCTTCAATTATTTACATTTGAGGCACCTGTCTTCGAAGTAAATAAAGAATTTGGAACAGTGAGGCTGCATCAGATCACTGAATTCATTTTCAGTATCCTTCGAGGTAGTATATGGCTTGTGAAGCTCAATGAAATGGGTAGATGAAATCAGGACATGTGGCCGTGGAAGAAAATGAGCAGGCGGGAATTAGGAACAAGAAACGGAACTAACACATCTCTTTTTAATCGCAGCACTTCTGCGTAATCGGACATGGAAAATTAAGAAAGGATATTAACAGGCGGCGTTCGGAGCACTGGAGATGTCTTCCGAGGCTTCGACAGGTCCGGGAGACTATGACCAGAGACGCTTAAGGAAGGTCATAGAGTTGGGTAGAAACCAGGTGAGAAATGTCTCCGGTGTTTTGAAGGGGCATTGCAGGCTTAGAGGTCTCTTTAAGGGGCTAGGCCTAGAAGGCGGGAGCCCCTGAAGATTTTGTGGATAGAATGAAATGACTTTAATGAATTTTCTGGGAGATTGTAGGGTCCTCACCCACAGGAGAAAGAAAATACTGTGATGGGAAACTACATACTTAATCCAGCATAACTGCGATCCCGTATCTTTCAAGCTCTTCAAATTCTTCAGGAAGTGAATCTTCAGGAGATGTTGTAAGGGTGTTTCCAACATTTAGTGGGGGACGCAATATATCCTTCATACTGATCGCGATACATTGTTGCCCCATCTGCACAATCTACAATTTACAAATATAGAAAGTGGGATAACACACTTTTTCACACTCACAGCAGTCGAAGAGACATGAAATGCCCCCAATTGTTTCAAATGTTTTAAATATAAGTTTTTAGTTTTTCTTTTATAATTTTTGCTCTAGTCGAATTTCAGCTTAACGAATTTTTTCATATAAGAACTTTTTTCTATCTCTTATAAATTTGCTAAAAATTTAATAGTTTTTTATTACATTTGCAATATTTTTGCTTTACCATATTGTTTTTTCGTCTTATATGTATAAAAGTATAGGTATTAGTTAGAAACCATAAAAAGGAAGCTTTTAATAGCCTAATTTTCACAAAATCACCTCTTGAACGTAGTGCAAAAACAAATAGAAAAAAATTTGCTCTTCTCCATTGAAAGTTAAAATTAATTTAAAAAAACAACCCGTTTTGCACTTGATACCTTTTATGTATAAAACCTCACATTTGCTGGTTTTTTTTCTAAGATTGTTGAATTATTTAAGAAAATGATTCTTAAAAGAAAAGAATAATTAAGAAAACAAAATAAAATTTGTAACTATTGATCATGCATAATTATTTCTAATTTTCGAGAAATTCCAAAGCCGCACCAACTTTGTGAATAAATCACACACTACACTAGAAACAATTTTATAGCCTCTAATAGAGTACAGAAAAAAATAAACTTGCTTAACCAAAAAACACATTGTCACCATGTGAGACGAATAAGACGCTGCACTCTTAAATTTTTCAAAATCATTTACCGTGTAATAATGTTAATAATATTGTGCTTGTGGTTTCGTTTATTTAAACTTTTGCAATAAACTTCTAAATAGTGAGAAAGCAATAAACATTTAAGTCAAACCTATAAAATAAATTTTAGTAAATAAATACCCTGCTAATATATGGTGTGAATTAATAACTTCTTGCTTTTACAACCGTCGCAGTTGATAAAACAGTTGATTTGCTTAAGAGATCAGGTTTTCATTCGATACATTTTTATTTTTTTTTCTTAAACCTTATCCATGGAAAATAAAGAAAATGTAAAGTTTTTATATGAGAATTAAGTTTAGAAATAAAGTTTCATGAGCTCATAAAAATCTTTATTGTTTTAATGTGAAATTATGAATTATGGAGAATATTATGTAGGACATATACAAGACTTTAGATATTAAAAATATTGTGTTACTTTTTGGTAGATAAGGGTTAATAAAAGTGGTTTATGTTCAAAAAATTACTGTAATTTAGTTCCAAATGCACAATCTATACACAAAATAGGGAAGTCACTGATGCTGTCGCCATTTTACTAATCAGCTAGCAAAATTAATCATTGCCTGCTTTTATAAAAAATACAATATTTGACCATAAATTTAAATTATAAGTAAAACGTCAGGAGCAAAATAAAAAGTATTATTTTCAATTTTTATCCTAATGATATTTGTTACCTATAACTATAATTAGGTTTGCATCAATTACAGCAATAAAAAATCAACCTCTGATAGTTAACAGCAAATTACGGTTTGCTTTTCGAGAGATACACTACAATGTTCAAACGAATGTTAAGACAAATTTGTCAAAGATTATATTTTATTTGTAAAAATAATGTTCCTAATTGCAATGAAATTTTATTTGTGATCATTAGCTAAATTTTAGATTTAGTTGTTAACGTGTAATTAAATATTAATTATAAATTAATTTGCAATTATCGAATGAATCGAAACGCATAAATTTGTTCTAAAATAAAATTTAATGCTAGACACAGAAACTTAAATAAATTTTATAGAAAAATAAATTTGTGACTTAGATGATTTTATAGTGATCTTAAACTTTAATTGTAATCTTTTAATTGTATAAAATTTTCTAAGAACCAATAGATAATAGAAATACATACATAGATGTTTGAATTTAAAACTTAAAAGATGTACCAAGCATTTAAGATTGAAATTTTTTATAGTTCATAACAACCTTCCTTAAAAGGAATATGCTCAGAAAGAAGAAATGTGAGAAGAAGCACGTTTGATTACACATAAATTAAGAACATATAAGGTAAAATAAAATTGTGATTTACTCGTGTAAATGCGACAAATATGGATTTTTGCTTAATACGACAAAGCCTGCAAATAACGTTTTATTTTTTAAAGAGAATAAACTGCAAAATAAGAGAAAAAAGTAGTACATGTGCATATCGTATAAGTGAAACTCCAATATTTCTACTACAAGTTAGAGTTAGAAAGCTGAGTATAAAAATTGAATGAAAGTTATTAAAATTTACTTATGTGTGTATGTATGTGCATATATGAAAGAACCAGGTCATGATACAAGCCTTGCAAAGTTCTTAATATTAATTAGATTGATTTATTTTTTAAAAATACAAAAATACTCATAAATGTCATTTATTATTATTTTTGCATAATTGACGTGTAAAAATTATGAAAAATCAATAGAAAATTATGATGTGTACATCAAAATTGAAATGACAGTCAATTTTTATTTATGGAAAATCAAGTGACAAAATATTTTGAAGAGTTTAAAATAAATTCTGTTTGCAGAGCTCCAAATTTTCTACAAATAAAAAAATTATTTTACAA